GAATTCAAATATGGAAACAAAAACGGACAACAAAGAAAGAAACAAAAAGAATGTCGCGCGAATTGAATACAAGAAAGATGAAGGAGGGTACAGGGCTCTATGCATTGAAAACAACGTTGCTGTGTGTTTTTTTGTTTTTAGCTGCCAACCTCTCTTGTCTCTGTCACCCAGTATGCTTCGTTCACCAGCACCTGCCTTGTGATGTTCTGTGGACAAACAGGAACTTAAAACCAAAGGAAAAAATGCGCTCATCGTGGGGGTGGTTTCGCGCGGTTAAACGTTTATCCGCCAATGGATAAAGAGGTTAAACTCGACACATGTTTGTGTCGTCTGATCGATCGAAATGGGAGGAGAATGGAGGTAGAAAAAAAAAAAAAGAGAGAGAGAAGGGGTGAGGGGAGGGAGAGGAGGGGAGAGAACGATGATCGTGAATGCGAACTCACTTGACTCTCTTAAATTATAATAATACCATCATCGTTAATCTCATTTCATCATGTTAATATAATACAAATTGAGATTGTCCATTATTCAATTATGGCCTGATCGGGCAAATTTGATTGATATTTGAATTTTTTTTTATTTAAGCTAACATACGATATAAATGCATTACATCGCAACGCACAGTTATTAATAGAACGGGGTTAACGGTAATCTGGTGTACAGCGCGATGAAGAAGTTAATCTATTCTCGATAATAACACGATCTTCCAGTTTTTTTATTTTTAGCGATACCTACGGCACAAATCTTTTATTTAATCTATAATTCTTAAATAATAAATTGTCGCATAATCTCATGAATCACTTGAAATTGTATTATACACGCGCGCTTGCGTGTATAATTGCAAGCAAACAGACTTGAATTTCAAAATTTTTTTTTTTAATATCAAACGCTTGATGTCGAACATTGGCGACCTAGTACGTTTCCAAAAGAGTACGTTCGTTTTCAATTTCAACTTAACGCGTGTAAAAAAATGTAAAATCTTACCGCGTTTTCCCGTCGGTCGAATACTGGTATGCTGACCGAAGTCATTAGCCTGTATTCTTGAAGATCGCCGCTCTGGTCGTGCGATTTCCTTTGTTTTTTCACGAACCTGCGATCTCGTTCCTCGCTATTCAACAATTTTCTCCTTTTGTGAAGTCTGAGGAACCTCTCCTTCTGCTCCTCGCTCTCCCTTTGCTCCCACAACCAGTCGGTCATCTTTGGATCTGTTACGTCAGCGTAGACCGGGGTCCAGATCGTTGGATGATCCGTACGACCGAGAACCAACGGTCTTGCCATTACAGGAACATATTTAAGAACCTTGAGGATAAAAATTTCAATCGTTTGTTTCATTCGATCGATATTAAAAGTATATATCAAAAATTATCGAGCAAATCAAGGGTACGAGAAATATTCATATATATATATATATACCTCTTCCCTGACTTCGGCCAAAGTGCAAAGATGCACGAAATAACCCCTGTTGGCACAGGCCATCCATTGAACTTCTTTAACATCTGCCACTTCTCTGCCGATAAGATAAGTGAACATTCTGACCGGCATATCTGCTTTGAACGGTTCGTCGGGATTGTCTCTCCAGTTGTAAGTCTCGAAAATCTCCTTATAGTTGTATGGAACGCCGTCTGTTATCAACATAATCGCCTGGTTGCACCTGGCCCCTTCCCTTTCGGTTCGATACGTTTCAAGAAGCTCGAACGCGGTGGTCAAAGCCAGCGAGAAATTCGCAATTTTCTCCGTGTCTAAATTTAAGATGGCTCTCTTCAATTCCCTCACGTTCGCTAAATTAGCTTGGACTAAGGTATCGTTGAAACACGGCACCACCTGCAGTGTAATATTTTTTATTAATTTCTTTTTCTTTCTTCTTTACAAAAAAAAAAAAGTTATATAACTTATATACTTAACGAGAACCTCGTCCTCGTTTTTAACTCAACGCAAAGAGTATTTCGTCATTTCTTCATGACGATTAATAGAAAATAATACTTTTGCGATTTTTATTTTAAATTACCTCTTTCGTAACGTTCGAGAACGTGATGATATTAACGAAATCGTTGTTTCCAAGAGTGTCCAGAATATTGTTCACCACGTGTCTGGCAATTTCTCTGCGGATACCAGTCATACTGCCGGAAGTGTCGATTAGGATAAGAATATCCTTTGGGCTGGTAGCCGCCTCGATGTACCAGCTTCTAGTTCTGCAGTCGAACAAGTCCACAGGTTCCATATACCAGTTCATCGCTGGATATTGTCTCATGAAACCGGTCGCGCTACCGAAATATTGCCAGGATAGCGAAGGATCTTGCTCGTAGTTGTTGATAAAAGTCTTGTCCAACTCCTCGGACCATTTTATCGCTCTAATCACGTTAGACGCTCGATCATAGACATTAGTTGGGACGTGTACAGCGGATCTATCCAAATTGACTTGGCCGCCGAAGTGGGCACTGTGTTTCAGGTCGATCGTGTTATTCTTCGCGTTTGTGTAGTTGAAGGACTCCGGAGGATCGACATCCGGAGCGGACAAGGCTGAAGTTTCCGCGACATCCATGATCCTCTAGAATAGGAGATATATCAAGATTATAAGATTAATAAACGCGAGTATTGATTTTTCAAGTTTGCTATATATATTCTTATATATATTCTTAAAGTGAGGAATGTGCATCTCGCGTATTGTTAAAATTTTTTTAAGAGATTTTTTTTTGCAAAGAGCTTTTAGAACATGTACCTTGATAGCCGATATCTTCGATTCCATCATCGCTTTGATATCTTTGGCGATCTCGTGGACCAAAGCATTTCCATCACGTGGCTTTAACACTGCCTGTTTGTAACTGTCGTTAAACTTGTCCGCGTTGGTCACAAACTTGCCTAACTGCGACAGCTCGAAACCTAACTTGTTTGCCCATGTTTTTACTCTGCATGGAAAATAAATTGTATTGAATGAAGACAATTTTATCCCTATTTTGAACTTGTAGTAATATAAATAATATCTATTTATTACTTAATCCAATAATTAATAATTTTTTTTCAAAACAATAGTTTGATCAATGTAATTTGTAATTTGTAATTTGTAACGATTAATGAACGATTAAACTGTCATTGGAAGAAATATAAAATTTTGTACACAATACACCTAAATAGTAAACAATTACAAAATTATTTACCCAAATATTATCCATCGAAACTGTAACGTTTCTAACAGTGAAAGAAATCTAAACTTAATGTATAAAACTGATAAACTCTTCGACTTTTCAATTTTCCCCACTTCCATATCCAATATTTCCCGTATCCCTAAAACCAATTCTTCTACAAAAAAAAAAAAAAAAAAGAAGAATCGTGTAAAAAATACGACATAAAACAAAGCAACGAGGAATGCGTGCGTTTTAACAAGGGGTCCACGTTTTACATCAGGGATGGCGCATGTGGGCTTAATGAATTGCTGCCGATTCCGAATTCGGGCGTAAAATTGGAATTTTCTCGAAGAGAAGGAGAAAGAAGAAGAAAATAATACTCGACGATTTATTACGACGATGCGCCTCGTCGACTTACGTGTTGTACGATATGCTGTCACCACGGGCGAGTGCCTCGATCAGGATCAGGATGACGATAACAGGCAGGAAACGGGGCCTCATAACTCCCGTCTTGTACGGCGCTCCGCTGTTTACGCGAGGACACGGTAAACAAAACTGAGGCCGAGAGGAGGCTCGCGTCTGACATTAAGGATACTACTCCGGGTCGGCCGTCGTCGTCGTCGTCGTCGTCGTCGTCGTCGTGGTGCTCGTCGTCGTCGTTGTCGCCGTTGTCGTCGACGTCGCCGCCACGCAGTGCGCGCACCCTTCCACTCCGGATACCACGGCACTGGCGATGGCACTTATCGATCGTTCGACCAGACTTGCGCGCGATGATGACCCGAGATTCGAGACTCGGCGTCGCCGTCTCGACGCCACGACGCCGCTTGTATAAGCGCTCTTACGAAATTGATAGTAATGTTTGTCTCCTTCAGGAAAAGTCACCTTCGAAACTCGAACTTCGCCTCTTGTTTTCGCCAACGTCGTATCGACGAGCATTCGTTGAAGTTGGCGAATGGAGGGGAGGGGAAGAATGTGGTAGAACGTGAAGGCTTTTCCTTCGTTGAAGTTGTTGTCCATCTTCGAAATCAGGGAGAGATATTCTTCGTATTGGATATCTTGAAATGACGGATGGAAACGATGGGAAAAGAATTAGAATTCGACTGATTCAGAAAAAATAATTATTCGTAGAGTAAATAGATGATTAAATATTTATTGATGATATCGTTAAAGGAAGAAATACCTGTCAAGGATATTATCCAGACTTGGGAAAAGGATGTTTCTTTTTTTTTCCCCTTCTAATTTTGTTTAACTGAAAATTATAAAAAGAAAAGAAGTTATTAAATAATTAATTTTAATTATTAATTTTAATATATTTGTGTATATGCTTGATTATTCAGTTATTTTCAGCAAATTTGTTTGCTGAAGAAATTAAGAATTGAATAACGGAGAATATGAAAGAACGAAACATTTTAAACGATATGATATCGCTGCTTAAATTTTCTGGGGCAAGCGCCTCTCATCCTATCAACAGACCTCGCGACGCCACTAGAAAATTGTATCTCGCATGGGATGGGAGGATATTTCGCCAGGTTTTATGTTCTTTTTCTTTCTCTCTACGATCGATCGATTTGTTCTTGAACGTCTTTGCTCCATAAAAAAGGAACGAGGTTTGGCTTAAAAAAAATATTACGTTAATTACTTTTAATCTAAATAAATAAAAATTACCAATTATCATTCCCGTTTAGAAATCTTATATTGTTCGTATAATTTTTTTTTTTTTTCTTAATAACGTTTTTACTTTTAATTTTTATTATAAGCCGTATTAATTCAACGCAATATTCTTACACTATTATTATAAAATATTTATATAATGTACATTCACATCGCGATGCATGCGTGACAATTAATAAAGTGATAATTGAATGAGCAATTTTTCTTTTCTTCCTTCACGATTATACAAATGTATATAAAATTCTGGCTACAGCAGTGGAGAACAATAACAAGGATACACTCAGTCCCGATGCCCCTCCGCAGTCCTCGATCTCATATTCCAAGGGATGCTCGGTGAAACAACCCTCTAGACGCCTTCTTTTAAGATCATTTAATGGAATTTTATGACAAGGCGCGCTCTCCGTGCCATTCGTATACTCGAGAGGCGAAATGTTCACCGGTGTCACTTCTAACCTCTTGTAACAGGTCGGATACATAGTATCGACGACCACCAATAACAAATTTGTATGCGGTACCTGAAAATCATTTATTTCCCATTTACATATTTTCCGATTTCTTTTTCGACGAACTTAAAATATTTTCTCGATACCTTAAAATACTACAACAATGTACAAAATTTGTTTTACAATTTGGATAAAATTATTAGTTTAAGATTAGTTTAAAATATATTCGAGATTAAGATTAAATAGAAATTAAGTAGAAGGACTGACCCTGCGAGCATAGAACGGCCTTGAACAGTAATCCGAATGATTTGTGATTCCTTGGCTAGCGACAGTGGTGTTCATCATATAAAGTATCCTTTTCTGGTCGCAAGGATAATGATAAAGGTAAGGTCGAGGCGGGGGTGGCGGGTCCGGAGCATCTTCGTCGAAATGAACTTTGGCATAGCTGATTGGCAAGTTCACGAACTGGGTCGTGAACCACGTCAAACGCAGCAGAAACCAGAGCAACAGTTTCCAGATGTATATCAGCGGGTCCGTCAGAGAGTTGGCCGCACCCTCGATGCGCTACGGATTTTATTCTCATGGAATCGTATTTCGTGCGGGCAGAGGTCCGTTTTGCGAAAACGGCGGCGAGTTATCGGCAAACCGATACAACTTTTTCCTCTCGTTGGAACTTCGCGCGAATTAGAAATATGTCACCAGAGAGCGAAACAGGTTTCTCTCTAACTTTCGAGAACTTTTCGATTTTTTGTCTCGCTTGTTTCTCGAGCATTTTTTTGCAACTTTACTACTCCAATGCTTTTCGAGATACGTATAAAGCTTTTAACAAGATTTTTCTCGGTAAAAGGTATAAGAGAGCGAAGGAAAGTAATAAAGCAGATCCAGATCTTGCTACAGAATCCGTTGCCCTTTGATTAGGAAAAAAAAAAAAAGGGGGGAATCAAAAGATATATTTACACGAACTGAATAGCTGAAGTTGAAAGGCTAATTTGTGGAAATGGAAATCTTTTGATGATGATTACGGAAATTATATTTCCTATACGGTTTTGAATCAGTTTAATTGAATGATTCTCGTATTCATTCAAGTATGCTTACCACTTCCTCGCACCATGCTTGATAATCATAAATTTCAATGGGATTATAGAGACCCTGGCCAACCATGGAGCTCATCACTGCACCTTCTTGCGTTCCCATAAACTGACCGGTGTTGTTGTGCGCCTCTGATATCACCACGAAGCCATTCTGATCGAGCAAGTAACAATCTATCCATACATGGGCACAGTTCATCAAGGTCGAATTGTTTGACTTGGAGGTCAGCTCAATAAATTTATCGTGAAGATTTGTCATTGGCATTTGAAAACCGATTACTGCAGCTGCCGCTTTTTTACCACCGTCCTTTGGGAATAATCCAATTGAAACTGTCACTGTGGCATCTGGCCCCGCCTCCCAGGGAACTGAAATTATTCAAAAATTTTCAATTTATTTAACGAATAATTTGATGAAATCAAATGATATCCTTTTCAAGCACCTGACAAAGATATGCTGTTAGGGTCCAATGTATTTTGAAAAATAGCAGCTTTGTACCAAGGTTCATTGACAGCTTTTCTATGAAGATCACCGAAAACGATGCCATCGTTGTCCTCGGGTAATTTGTTCGTATCCAAATAATGCCATCTGGTCAAACCACTTTGAGTAGCGACAAATCTCAAGAAAACTCCGTAAATGTGCGTTAAATTGCGTGTCCGAGCATCGTCCAATACGAAATCGTTGTTGAAGCTAGCGTTCGTTGCTTTTGCATCAAAAACTAACAGTTGCATCAATTCTTTGTTACAATAATAATCATCGTGCGACAATGTTTGTCTACCACAATTAGGGACGTAATCAGTTTCGTTTACGTCTATCTGATAAGCTTCGTATTGCTCCGACCATTTCCAACCAGGCTTGTTTAACAAGTTCAAAAAGTGTCTCAATTCTTCCTCAGGATTGTCGAATTGATGCCCCTCTAAATAATGATAACGACAATACACCCAACTGGGATGAATTCGCCAATTGTTCCCCACGAAGAATTCAGAGATATTCACGTTCATGTTCTGGTTTCTCCGTATTTCGTCTCCAACCTTGAAGAGTTGTACATCGTGAGGAATGTTTAATTTGAAATGTTAAAGTATGATTTTACTTTTCGGTAAAAAAACTTTTTTATTTTTTTGCTGTTAAATTTAAAGCTATCAAAAGGAATTTCACGCGTTCGATCGTTTCCATTAAGAAACACCTGCAGGCCTGTGTTTACCATCCAAGCTTGCTCTAAATCTCAAAGTTTATACGTTCTACAATCTCGAGAACGCGAGTCGAGCTTGCGGCATCGGGATCACTGGAACTAGCCGAGAAACTCCGGGCTTCCGTAAACTTCTAGCAATGCGTGTGTATACGCGAAAGGATTACCTTGATCCAAGTTTTGCCATAGTTCGATGATGACATGGCGACCGCAAGGCCAAAAGGCGTTCCGGGAAGAGGTGCGTAATAATAATCGCGTTTCTCGAGAATCACCCGACGATTATTGTCGTAATGCAATTTCACCGGTACACTTTTCAAACTGCCGCTTTTGTGATCCACCAACGCGCCTCGAAGCTCCAGTACTTCTGGTCCGGGATTTCTGCGCTCAATTTTAATGAAAAAAAAAAAAAAAAGAACTCTTCTTAAATCGTGTGTGATTTATTTCGCACGATGCGAAAGCGATATATTCTTTCGCCATATATTTGTTATATACATCAATGGGAAAGAATGTCGAATAATATCAATTATCGTATCATCTATTAGAGAAGAAATTAGAGAAATTCTATTTAGATTTCTGTGTAGTACCTAGGACCTCGGCCATCGTCCAAGATCTCCACCTCTGTTAGATCGATGCTGTTGTAATTGAGCTTCAATTTGCCTTTGAAAACAGGTCTCAAATCTGGATGCAGAATCACGTATCCGTTGTTGGACACGATGAAAGCGTATCCATTCACGCCTAGCTTGTACGGCAATGTAAGCTTTCGGATGTCGTCAATTGGCACATCCGTGCCAGCCACACCTAATAAATTCGCCATTCTTGTCCGATTGTTGCGATTCCCTTTACGGTCGAATACTGGTGTACCGACAGATGTAAGGAGCCTGTACTCCTGCCAAGCTGTCGTGTTCAATAGGGATGCGTCCTGTCGAACATCCTCGTCCTTGGCGAGCTGTTAAATATACAAATTAATTATTTACAAATGCGAATTTGTAAATACGATTACATCTCAAATCAAGTTTTTCAAGATCTCGATACTATATCCTACTTTTTTTGTTTTGTGTTATTTTACGATTCAATGAGTGTTAAAAATCATCAATTTTTATCACGAAAGAAATGATAATACTTTATATTTTATTATAAAATTTAAAGAATCAATTTTAAATAAACGTAGCGCAGTCTCGTTTGCTTTTGCCTAATTTTTCACATTTATAAATCTTTATTACTGATCTACATTCATTTTTGCATGCAAAAAAGACTATAACTATAATAAAACTATAACTATATGCAAAATGATGGGCCAATAAAAATCGCTTCTTTCAATAATCTAAAAACTTTCAAAAAAAAAAAAAAAAAAACAAACAAAAAAAACAGTTAAATATTATAATAAAATTAAGTGGCTATTGATAAATTATTTGCAGGATTCGCCTAAACTTAGATATCTAACGGCACTATTTGTTTAAGTATATGGCAGGGGAAAGAGCGCATCGAGCACGATAAGGCAGCTTTAAAGCTACAGGCGTGATTGTTGCTTGCTTGAACCTGTTGTATGTAGAAATCGTCCTCATTTATTTGCACACCCAATCGTTTTCCTTTCAGATGTTTTTGAAGTCGTTTTTGTTGTTCCTCGTGTTGCATCACCAGCCACAGCCAAGTGGCGAGTGCTGGATTCTAGTGGAAGGCGAATCAGAACTTTTACAGAATTGAGGATAGTTTGTACAGCGAAAAACTCGGAGAACAGTGCCACAGATACTTTTGAAAGTACTTAATATAAGTGCATTTTTGACAATTAAAATTATTTCAAATATTTCATTTTTTTCAATCACCTAAAATTTTCTATATATTTTTTAATAGTCGTATAATTTTAATGATGAATCAAATATGAATGAAATATGATTATATACATGTAATCATTATCTCAATTATAGAGATTTAAAAATCAAATAAAATTACTCTAATTTAAACAATTGTCTTACCGTAATATCTGCATAAGCATGCGTCCAAACAATAGGATGCACTACTTCTTGAAGAACCATAGGTCGTGCAACTACAGGTATATATTTCAACACCTGTTCTCGAACCTCTTCTAATGTATGAACGTGTGTGTAGTAACCACGATTTAAACAGGCCATCCACTGAATTTCACGAACTTTGGTAACTTCTTTCCCCAAGAGATATGTGAATACTCGGACAGGTATGTGAGTATCATTCTCGCGCCAATTCCATGTCTTAAATACCTAAACAAAATTAATTAGAACTTAAAAGATTTTCTTATTTCATTTGAATAAAAAAAAAGAAAAAAATAAAATTTATTTTAATATTTAATAGAAAAAAAAATATAAATACTCGCGAAAATAAAATTTAACGTTATGATATGAACTATATTTGTTGATTCGTTTTAAAGTAGCGTTTAGAAAGAACGATAAGGAAGCACAACACTAAAGAGAGTTAATATGCATTAATATGGAGTAAGAAAGAGGAGCGAATATAGAAGATTAAATAAAGTAGTGAAAAGAAAGAGAACGAGAAGAGATAATGGAAAGAAAAGAAGGATTGAGAGAGATGAAAGCAATGGAAAAGAAAGAAAGATAGAAAAACAGAAAGACAGAGATCGCTATGATCCTCATTGGTTCGAGTGGGATCTCATAACACTTGAAGAGTTATTCGCAGAGAAGAGAACTGAAAATGCGATCTTTTCTTCGGTAAAAATTACGCTTAAATCTTAATTCCAATATTAACAATATAATTTTTTTATATGATCAAATGTATCCGTTTTCAAAATAGATTAATAATATGTAAAAAATTAATAGTATGATATAATATAGCAACAAATTATTAGATTTTTCAAAACTATGAATAATAATATTTATATGAATGTATATAAAAATAGTTGTATTCTATATGTATTCTATACGAAAATTTTTTAATATATCATATTAATTATCTCTTTAAATACAATTATTTTTTACAATAAAATTAAAAAGGATAATTATTGATTTTGTTGAATAACATAAAAACATGTTATAAGAAACTATTGATTTACTTCTGTTAAATTTCCAGGAACACCATCCGTGACGAGCATTATTAATTGATTACATGATGTATCAGCACCACATCCTCGCGTTTCTCTATAGGTGTTTAAAAGGCTGAAAGCTTTGGTGAACGCTTCTGTTAGATTAGCGAGTCCCTCCGTTTTAACATCAATTAAAGCTTTCTTGAAGGTGTCCACGTTTTCCGGAGTGGCTTGAATTAGCATGTCCTTGAAACATGGCACCACATCGTAGGTCTCGTTTGCATAGCTTAATACAGTCACAAAATCATTATTTGAAAGTGTATCCAATATTACGCTTACTGTTGTTCTTGCTGAAAAAATATTTATAAAAAGAAGAGATAAATATTTTGAACATCGAATATAAGAATAAAGAGAGTTGTAGAGTTAGTGAAACAGCAACTAATTAGTTAGGGAATATATTTTTTGATTCAATTATTTATTAACATGATTCTATTAAAGGATTGCGCGATACAATTTAGATATTTTTCTTAAATGAGCAATTATGATCTCAGATTTGTAATTTTTTCATACACAAATTGTACGTATAAATAAAACGATTATATATATTTGTAGTATATAACTTCCCAATAAATAAATTGTATAGATAAATTTTTAATTCTGGGAATGTGTATTTATATACAAATTTTTAATTATATGTGTATAATATTTTTTAATTATATGTGTGTATTTTATAATTAAAAAATATTCTTATTCAATTTACTTTATTATAATAAATTAATCATTTAAATGATAGAAATTAATTAATTTTATTTACCAATAGTTTTTCCCATGCCCGTCATACTACCACTAGTATCCATCAAGATTACCATGTCTTTGCTGCAAGTTGCTGCTTCAATGAACCAGCTGCGTACCCTGCAATCATAAATGTCAGCCTCTTCCTTATCCTTTTCTTCTTCCTCTTCGTTTTCATCTTTGCTTTTTTTTTCGTCTTCCGTTTTGTTTTCTTCTTCGTCTTCCGCGCTAATCTCCAGTGTAGGATTCGTTTTCCACTCCATGGCAGGATACTGTCTTAACATTCCTGTGACAGAGCCGAAATATTGCCAAGACAAAGCTGGATCTGACTCGTAGTTTTGGCGGAAGATATTGTCGAGAATCTCAGTCTTCTTAATGTCGTTGACCACAGACGGTGACATATCGTACACGTTTGTAGGTATATGCACCGATGAAAAACTTGTATTTACTGGTATATTGTAGAAATGCGAATCAGGCGTTAGCTTCATCTCTCTGTAAATATTTTTAATAGTTATGTAATTTTTTATCCTTTTTTAATGAGAAACAAATTACTTTTATCGATAGATAAATGAGACAAATAAGATCATTACATTTGAATGTATTTTTGAATACATAGATCAAAGCTTGTTTATTTATATCTAATTTTACTTGATTTCCATATTTCAAATGGCAAATGTCTTCAATATGTTCGATTGATAGATTATTTAAATTAGAATGCCTAATTCATAACTTGACCATTCACCTAGAAATCAATGTACATATTTCAAGTTTCTTAACCTAATTCCATCAATTAGCATTAATTAGAATACATGGAAACTATATAGAATAATTGCATATAATGAACACTATCTTTTATTTCGTAATAATCAATTAGGTGATTCACTTTTAATTATATAAATTTAGATTTTTTAAGATATTCTTATAAATTGTTCTCTTAATATGTTTGGAATGAGTAATAATTTGAAAAATAATTTTTTATGCATAATATCTATATTATATTACATTATAATTAAATTAATTTCTAGCGGCTAAACGCTATTTCTTATGAACCTGTACGCATCGATGTTTTTCTTCATATTTTTCGGAATTCTCGGTCGTGTCTGATTCATCACTTTACTGTACTTTCCAGAAACATAAGTGAAATTTCCCTCTTCATCGTTTTCCCAATTTTCAGCGTATTCCTCAGCTGCCATCCGGATACAGGTTACTGCGTCCATCTTCCTCCGGAGCATCCTGCCAACGTTCTCGCTGATTATATTCACCAGCTTCTCCCCAGATTTATTTTCCACTCGCGTGTTCATGGCTTTGTATTTCTGCAATTTATTCGGGGCTACAGTTACACCTTGTCTTCTTTGCCTGCAATCTGAATTCTACCGCTTTTTCCTCTCATCACGCCATGCTATTATTAATTTCTTGCACTGAAATCGTTATTTGTATATCTGTTCCCGTCTTGTTGTATTGTTCTTTTGGACAAAATGTTATGAATCCATAATTTAGTTCGTTTTTCTATACCGAAACAAAATGTCCAGGGGAAAAAGAAGAAGAAACTTTAAAATAATAAAAATAATAATATTTCCATAATATTGATTGCAATGTCATATGTAATAAATAGTGTAAGCATAGATTTACTTTTGTGATTTTCATGATGGATTTTCATATAAATAATTACAATTAAATATTAAAAAATAAACACTAAGTAACATTCTATATAAAGATAAAAAATTGAGATAAAATCTACAAATCTAAATATTATTCTATATTATCAATACGATTTTTAAATAGTAAATAAATGTTGAAGCACAATGGCTATATATATATGGCTATTTTAGAATATTAACTATAACCCTTCAAGGTTCCATCTCGCTTTTTTAATAAGTAGTTGTGTTTTTATATTGTTTGTATTATAAGGATAAAATTGATTGTTAAACAATGTAAATCAAGTTCTTTTTCTATTTTAACGAATTTTACAGGCATGTTCCTAAAATATGCATATCTACGATACTTCATTTTGGATGTTAATGAACGTAATAGTTTATTGTACCTATTACATATATCAATTTACATATATTACATATATTATATTATTACATATATCAATTTTCATGAATAACGACATACTATGTAGTAGCAATGTAAGATCATTATGGATTATCTTTCCTATTTACTACATTTTTGACAAAGATATTGACATTTTTTCACATTATAGAATTAATTCTTACTATTTATTATGGGGTTAAAATTTAACTATTATTATGAAGTATAAAAAATAATTTTTGAATAAATATTTTATATTTAATATTAAAGATTAATAACTTTCTTATTTTAGAAAAAACTCTAATATATATATATATTTATTTATTTATTTACTTAAAAATGTATTTTTATATTTTATGTTGTTTAAAAAAAATAATATGACAAATATAGTTGGTTAAAACGCATCACAGGCGGCATCTAAAAATTGTGCATGAAAGCTCTGCTACATTTTCTGTGTACAGATTACATTCAACTTCATTTAATTTCACTTAATTTCTAGAGGTCATTTGAGTTAAGGTGAATTGACAACAAGCTGTTTCATTAATAAATTACCATTCAATGATGATTAATGAAAATAAGGAAGTTATCCGAGTAATTTTGATAATTTATCATAGGTCGATACATCATATTCCATCTTTACTGTTTTAGAATATTTTCAATTTCTTTTGTTTATCTAATTTTTTTTTATTACTTATTTCTATCTTTTGTATTCACTTTTTCTCGGTGTTTTTTTTTTCTTTATCTTTTTCTAGTGCTTATTATCTATGTTAAATGACAATAATAATATATGGAGGCGTAACAAAAATTATATGAATCAGCCGATATTAATGGGCAGGCATAAGAAAGGAAGGACACGCGATCGCGTGAACTTATGTACATTTAGCTATAAATGATAATTGAACTTACACTTAATAATTCTTCAGGTCGTGCCACCTTTTCTGCTAATTCCCATAACTCTGCACCCAAAATTTCTGCCCATCGCGTGACTCTGTAAAATCATAAAATATATCTCTTAATTTCTATTCTAATATTTTTTAAAAATATTTTCAAATTTATATTGATATTTAATCGAAACAATTGAAATCAATAACAATTAATTAAAAACGAAAAACAATTATCGTTAAAAAACCAATTTGTATCGAAACACTATCAATTTCGATATATAATGTGTAATATACACAACGTGCAAATATCACAAAAAAATCATACGTAAAGTTAATGATTCTTTATTTTTATAGCTATATATTTTTTGTTTATATTTTTTATTTAAAATAAAAATTACTTCCAATATAAAAAGACTATGAAATATTAATGATCAAAATATTAATATTACTCACATGTACGAATCTTTGGCCAAGCAGTCGGTGCATAGCAGAAGGCAAATTGCAAGAATAATCAAACGGTTATCGAATATCCGTTCCATTCTTTTAAGGATCAAGATTCACGTTACACCCCAGTTTAACCGCAAAAAAGCTATCGTAAACCCCAACACATCATTTCATTTCGTTTTCTGAACTTGATAAATCTGAATCGGTGACCGCACGTTTGCGTCGCGAAACCTTTTTGAAGCTCAAGAAAACGGTAAGATGTCTCGATTATTTTTGGTACACGAAGGGCGCGCCGTCTCGTAAACCGACGAACCACGAAACCCGATCTTTCATTGTGTTGTTTCCTTCGCGTGGTGTTCGTGTATTTATAAAATAGAAGCTCTCTCTAGGTTTGGATCATGGCTGTACCTCTAAATACTTATTTGCGCATGTGTATCGATTTGCTACGAGAGATCTTTTTTATCGACCATTGCTGTTCGACTTATTTCTGCTCAATTATGATAATCGATATTTCGATTACGATATATTTTATTTATTTTTCGATATTATTCCTTTTTATTCATAAGTGAAAAACTTCATTCAATTGTTCTTTATACAAGATATTCATGAAAAAATGAAAAGGTACTAGAATAGATACTAAACATCAAAATGATTGAAAAATATTAATGTTTTAAACACATATTTTATTATTTTCGATAAGAGTTAATTAATGAATAATCATAAATATTTTAAATTTGTATTAGATAAAGTGAGAACAGAGAGCGAGAACACTCAGTTGGATGCACGACAAAAAAATCTGAAAAACTAATGATATATGAAAATACTTAAATAAATTTGAATTTCAGATTATTAATTATTATTAACAGATTAACAGATTATTAAACATAAAGTAATAAAATCACTGACAATCTTTATCTTTATTTTATTTGCATTCAATATTTCTTATTTTTATACAGAGAAAAATAATAAATAGATTTGGATATCACATATTAATACGAATAAATATTACACATTAATATCACATATACATAAAAAATATATACATATTGCAATTGCATTGTTTCGAATGAATATTACAAATTCATTGATTTCTTTTTTACATTTTTATTTCTAATATATGAAGCACATATGAAAATATGAAATAATGAAACTATACCAAGACAAAGTGAATCTAGGCTTTATTCTTGTATTTAATATATACAATTTAATTTCGAGTATTACTATCTTATTTTTTTATTTTATAATAATCTCTTTTTCTAATTGCATTTAATTGTTCAGCATTTAATTGTTAATGACATTACAATTGTTAATAATATTTCAATAATACATTGATTTGTATCGCGAAGTCAAATTTAGAATTTAATGAAATAATACATATTTTTAAAATAAATTTTAATCAAATATTCGTCATGTAAAATTAAGTTATACGATAGTAAATAATAATCAATTTTATTCATAGAAATTATTCATGGAATAATTTTATTCAGAGAAATTAAAATGAATAGTGAATGAAAATATCGCTAGTATGTAAATAGTATGTATATAGCAAATGAAAAAGACAAATTTAATATTTATGATATAAATGATATGATATGATATTTTTTTAGTAATCTCATATATAAAAAATATATATAAAAAACATAAAAAGCATTGAGTTCAAACAAGATAAAGACAAAGATTTTTCAATTGATGCATTGATTTGTGGAATTCAAATTGATTCAAGTTATCATTAGTAATTTTTTTGTATATGTGAGGATAAGCAAGTTGTATATAAAAAAACATGTTCTAATTTGAAATCTTATGGGAGTTTTAATTTCTTTTAATTTCTTATGGATTTTGATAAACTGAGTGTCATAAATAAAAAAAAAGTAGATTGAGTGTCATACAATGATTGAATTAATTGATTTTAAATAAAATGTTTGTACAACAATTTATCTATAGATTTAAATAAAATAGTGTATATATATTCTATTCAATATTCAATATTCAGAATTCAATATTCTGAAATTTACAAAATCTCTTTCGAAATAACTTTTTGTTAAATAAACAGTTACACAATATGAATATTGTATATTACATTAAAATTCAAAAATAGTTTATGTATAAATAATCAGTAATATCAGCGTACTTTAGTGAAGGGCTTCGCTATGCAAACGACATTGCAATACGGTATTGTCAGCTGAATATTCTCGCTCCTCCATCGTCTCACTCTATCTAATATAAACTTAAAATGCTTATAACTTGTTAATCAATTCTGGAATCATATATGTGAATTGGAAATTATTAAAAACATGTATATGAATTTTTTTTATTGTTTTGTCTAGAATCTATCCTTCAAAAGTGTCTCACATTTTTTATAAAATGTGTATATCTGTATATATAATTCATATAATATTTAATTTTATTTTTTAATTTTTTAAAGAATTATAAAATCAATGGTAAATTAATTTTAGATTAAAACAATGATATAACAATAAGTATATAATAATAATAGATGTTGTATTTATAAATTTTGCAGTTATAAGTAAGAAAATATCTTTACGTTTGAAGAAGTGTCTGTGAATTCTTGAACACAATATTAATCGAATAAAACGTCTTACTCGTGGTAACTGATGATACGCGTAAACCACTTATGTAGTATGGTGGGTAACCGGAGACCTGTATAACTACAGAAAAAACATAAAGAAATTGCATTTTTATAACATTTAGAAGATTTTTATTTTTTAAAATTCATCAAAATTTTTAATTTTGAAATTATGTTGATTATGTGGAACAAGATAAAATATTTGCATCTTTGATTTGAAAATTGGAACAAATACCATATCATTAATGTATTTGAAAAAAGTATATAGAATATATAGATATAAATATATAGAATATAGATAATTTGCACCGTTATATTATTATAAAATTATATAATATCGAAAACATTTATACTAAATTGTTTTGTGGTCAATATACAATGACCGATTTACTAACATCATTTAAGATAAAATCAAGATTATATTAATAAGTAAAAGACTATATATTGTATTTGTAATCAGTAAAATTGCTGCATTATTATTCTCACCATTCAATGCTTTATTACATGCATTTTATGGTTTAATTTAAAAGATTTATTTAATTTAAAAGATAAATTTATTTGAAAAGATAGGATATTAAAGTGCTAGAAGATTGTACATGTGTTCGAAAGTCTGGTGATTCTAACCGACCAATCGCGTTTCAATTTCAGGACAATCTTTTTTTTTCTGCAAGATTATCCTGAACGGTTAAAATAAGTGACTTTCACTTGATCATTTATATAATCATATTTTTTTATAATTATATAATTATTTTAACTTCATTTTATTTTAATTTTTTGTCTCAACTTTATTTTAATTATTTAAATATTTGTAATTTGATAATTATCATTTAACCATAGTATTCTTCGAAATACTTCGAATTCAGTTTATAATCCTTCGAAATCGAAAAACCGATTTGACCTCGAGAAACCCATTACAGCCCTAATTCCATATCCCTCGTCGTCATAAACGTCAAAACAAATTACACAACGATTATGTTTGTGTAAGACCTTGACCGTTAAATCTTGTAAGAATGATATCTTAACATTTTTAAATATTAGTTGTAAACAAAATCTAAGGTATAGAAAAAATTATAAATTTTTTAAACCAAAGAATAAATTTCCTTTTTCATATTATTTTTTTCTTTTACATAATAAATGCAATAAAATTTCAATTTTATAATTTTTCTGAACAATGAAAAAAATATTTATTAGAAATATTTAAAATTAAAAAAAATATAAAATTATAAACAATTTAAATCATGTAGATATTTGTACATGTAAAAAGATTTAAACTATACTTGGCAAGTACAATTACACAAGTGGAAAAAGATATTGGTCACACGTGGTAAATGCAATAGCATTGGCTATATGTATAAGTAGTGATCGACATCGGCCCTTCGAGACAAAGGACTCATGAAGATGATAAAAACATAATTCTTTTCCAAGCTTTGGCACGCTTATTTCGCTAGTTATTTTAATTCTTAACTACTAATATAATATCTATATAATTCATAAATAATAATAATAATAAACTATGTATATTCTTATTCAATTTTCTTATATATTTAATTTAGTTTAATCCTATTTTAATTTTATTTACATATTAGGCTTTAACTTTTTGCCAATATTAAAAAAACAGATTATATTTATAATGTTATGTTGAATATAATTAAATATATTGTAAAAAAAATTTTTATTTTGTAAATTTCAATTTGAAAAATGAATTTTTCAAAAGTTAAAATATATATAATTATAATTTTGATGTTATAATTATAAAATAAATCATTTTTCAAAATAGAATTTTTAACAATTCAATAGAAATTCAATTCCAGTGGATGTAATCAATAAATGTAATGAGAATGAGAATGAACGAAATCTTCATAATGTAATTAAACTAATTGCATATAAAATATATATAAAAAACTTTTATTTTAAATCTAAACAAATTAAATTAAATAATCAATACGTCCATTAATAATTTATTTTAAAACTTTGTATAATAAATTATAAATAAATACATTTTTAGAAAAATTGTGAACATAAATATAATTTCGAATGAATATCATTGTAACTATTATATAAAAAAAGAAAAAAAAAAATGATGCATAAAAAGCATGCGTTTTTACTGATTGAGAAAAGACTTACATAAGAGACTTATTTCAAGCATCGAAGAATTTTTTTCAGATTTTATCTAAAAAATCATAATTAATCATAATAATTAATTATAATCTAAGCATAACCAATATGTAAAAAATAATGTTATTCAATTGTGTTTAATTGAACTTTTTTTTTCAACTTTTTTATCAAGTCAAAGTTTTATTTTGATAATTGCACGTATTATATAAAGTTCTGAATTATTTTTACAACAAATTAAATTGAAAAATTTTTTGCGAGCAATAATAAATAAAAAGAAAACTAAATTTCAGTTTCTAATATATCTAATTAACTTTATCTATAATTATAAAAATTGAAATAACAATCTATTGAAGTATATATAGTTATATAGTTTGAAGTATATAATAGTCTTTCTTCGGTTCAAGTTAACGAACTACGCACTCCGTTACTATGATCGCTACTGATCGATTAGCCCGATTCGTACTACTCGTATTTCTTGAATGAAAATTGTAAAATTTAAAGCTTTACATTTCTCAATGAACTAAATCTATAATATGAATTTTTTTAATTTCATTTTCTTTTATCATATGTAACATTTCAATTAAAAATCATCATTGACATTGAAATCAAGAATGATTGATTTAGCATGGAATAAATCTATATAATATTTCAATATATATTTGTATTATAATTAATTTTCCAATCCACTTTTTATAAAATTTATATTTTTTTAATTCTATAATGCTTTTTATTTTAATGATGAATCATTATCATATTTTTTCATATTTTATCATATTTCTCTTGCTAATGAATCAATTGTCATAAAAAAATTTAATTAAAAAAATTAAAAAAAATTTAAACAAAGAAACAGATATTAAGCTCATTAGTTTAGGCTCTTAGATTAATTTAATACTCGCATATACAAAAAAATTAATATGGGCGAAGAATTTTTTAAAATCCAATTATTATATTAATTTGATATTTCAAATTGTTCAATCTCTTAGATCTTTTCAATTCAAATTTATACGTTTTACGCTTAATCATTTAATTTCAATTAGAGAATATATATATGTATAAAAAAAAATTATATTGAAAAATTCCAAAAAGATTATTAATATTAATCTTTGATATTTTTTATAAAAATAAAATATAAAAATAAACGTAAGGCACTGAGCAATGGTACGTCCAGCATTGATTCATACTAGCAAAAGTCGTTCATACTAGCAAAAATTCACTGGCAATTATTATCAGAACGTGTCGAAAAGGTGTTCGTACAGTGCCGTAAAACACGGGGGCAACAGCTGGTGTATAGCGATTGATATTGATTTAAAGCACGCGGAGCCGGTTGCCGGGCAGTCACGGGCTAAGCGGTACGTTGAACAGGAGACCGGGACTCAAATGCCTCCCGAGTGCGAGGAAATAGAGGGCTACGAGGAGAAGACTTCCTGCATCGATGGCAGAATCAAAGAACATCTGCAGTTTTCGCCAACCTTCACGCTATGCGGTGCGAATATTTATCCTCGTTCTTTCCTTCACTTCCGTTTTCTCTTTTCTTCTTACGTTGCACCGCTTGTCCGACTCAGTAGGACTCAAGTTTTATCTTCATTACTGAATAGTCGAATTTCATGCCGAGTGTAATATGTGCTAACGATACACGCTTCTCAATCAGTGTCACAAAAAAAGTGTCGAAGAAGATTTTTTTGGGATTTTTGAAAGATCTAGTTAGTTGAAGTTCTTGTGAAAGTTTATGGTTGTATTCTTCAACAGTGTGTTGTGTGTATATATATATATATATGTGTGTGTGTGTGTGTGTGTTGTGTGTGTGTGTGTGTATATATATATATATATATTTATTT